AAGCCCCCGGTACCCCGCTTCTACGTCCATCTAGCGGAGGATTTTTGACCGGTAAACTGCCCCTCACCGTGTTTATTTGCTGGAGTGGCCTCTCCAGGGGCGAGTGTGGATAGAAGAAAGAAGCCAGGGGGTGCCCAAGCAGCTGGCCTTGTGAGGCTGGTCTTCGTCTGGCCTCTACCCGTTGACCTTTCAGGCGGGATTGGATCTACGGCTGTGAGAAGCCATCCTGTGTAGCTCGCAGGGTCACTGAAGCGCACAAGCCATCACACCACGTCAAGGTGCAGTCTCGTCGTGATGGAATGTAACCAAGGGCACTGTATGTATCCTGAAATCGGGAAAGCTGTTCTTAAATACCCGAAATTGCTCAAAGTATGAACTCCTTGCTGTGCGTACACCCATATACGAAAACAGTGAAATTCCAATCTGTGCTCAGCCCTCGGTTAATTGTCAGTATCGAATTCGTTTCCGTTTATTTGGTTAATCGCTGTTTTTTTTTAAATATACATCTACCATACAAGTTGGTAAATTTATGAAAATTCGCCCATTGGTTGCATGGAGCGTTTCTGGACTTGACAGACTGGCTCGATCTCACCGTTGTTGCAATAATTCAATTCCGAAAGACAAATCAATATTTATATCCATGGGTCTGTAAACGAGTTCGTAGTTCTCCAGAAGCAAAACGGTAAAAGTTAGAGAACAATGTATCAACTATGTGGAATCCAAACAAGTTAGGCAGGTAAGATGATTCTTGACCCATGTTAGTAACGGTGTGGCTAGTCCAGTAGCTCGTAGCGCAAAAGGCAACACAAACCTGGTAATGCAGTTAAAGGCATTATCATAACCAAACAGATACACGAAACACTTTACTAGAAATATCAAGAAGAAACAATACTGAGAGACTGAAATGATCTCTACTGTCTACATTAGGTCGTGGGCACCGATATTCTGGTTGTCTGCTACCGTGCGAATTGATGCTTAAACATATGGATGATAGCCAATTCGCACAAAAATACTCCGATCAGGTGTTTTAGGAGGCCGGAGGATTTTGAGTTCACGGACCACTGAACCGACAAGTGATTTATCGTGATTCGTGAGATGGTAAAGCTCAATTGTCGGGTCGAGCATTTGGTGCAGGGGTAATGTGAAACCTGTGATGCAGTTCCGTTGGTTGGATGGTGTGATCCACGAGGTTCATGCTTCACAGTTCCATGAGATTTTGCCACGATTGGTGATATGTTGACAGCCATGAGTAGGATTTTGTGTACAACCCAGTCATGCTATCGATCTCAGCTGCGATGAGTGAAGATATTTTCTCAAATAGTTAGTGGTTGACTGCATTACATACCTCTTCTGTGTTTTGAGTTTTCGACTGATAATGAAAATCTAGCAGGCCTGCCAGGAATAGAGTTTAACGGACAATACATAAGCTAGGAAAAATTCATTCTGTCACCCGATCCCAATGAATGGAACACCAAATGGTAGAAATGAACAAATTCAACGATAGCAATCACTTCTCTCTCGGAAGTAGGATTATCGAAGTCGCATCTCATGTGAACTGAATGAAGATGTAAAGCGTATGTGTGCATCCAGTGATGTGAATTCGAGCTCACTTTTAGGACATATTGGTAATGCAATACTGGTCTTCGCTAGTGGAGACTAATCTCATATCATTACCAAACATGCCATAGACTGATTTTACTTGTGTAAAATCTTACAACAGTTTTGAATCTGGGACAGGTCAAAAATGTGACAACAAGAATAAAAAGGAGGGCATCAATGGGAGAAATATATTTCAATGTAAAAACCGGATTTCGAGATTTCAAACGTGAATAATCAGGATAGTATGTAGATAAAAAGAAAATTTCTCATGAAACGCGATTAGTATTCAATAGAAATGGACATCTCGCGTTAAACGTAACCGATAGTTACAGACACTGGGTGTAGTGGCTATGCGTCGTAAACAGTGACG